ACATTTACCAAGCGCGGGGGGTGGTTCTTGCAACCATGCAGGGACCCTAAAGCTCAAGCCGGGCTACGCCAAGTGGAGCATCTGTTTCACGGCGGCAGGAGCATGCATGACATGGGCGACATGCAGATATCTCCTTCAATGATGTTTGCAAGCACTCAGTACGTAAAGCTGCAGGAGGGCGGCCGACAAAGAACCTTGACATCGTACAGGTGTGAAATGCACCATGCGGAGTCTGCATGGAATCCATCAATGACTTTACCCTGGCCTATTATGTTGTTCACTACTTCGAGTTTCGGGTGTAGGAGACATGGAAAGTCAGGCTGCCTTCCGATTCTCAGAGGTCTTGGTCATTGCAGGTAGTTCAGTCTTTGGATGTCTTGCGCAAGAGACTCGTGCTCCTGCGATTTATATCGCACCGAGACACTGTGCATCCGACATGTCGTAGATGCATGATCTCGGAAAAAAGGAGTGCCACAGCAAATTCGTGAGCTAGCTTGTCGTAAACAGACAATGCAACGAAGGCCCAGATGTATTTTTGGCAGCTTGGGGGTGTTGCCGCAGTTGAAAAATTTGTTTCATTTTAAACAGGATGGTGGTGTTCACCGAAACTTCCTCAACGGATCCACAATGCTTCTTATGTGTCTGGGACGTGTTCAGCTTTCCCTTAGTGGAGTGACGCTTTTTGGGTCGAGGATCTAAGACCTCACTCTCGCAAAAGGAGCTTGTTGATGGTGCTTTGAAACGCTGTCAGTGCTGAGTGCTGGGTTGGCTCAGAAGCATCTCCGCTCGATATTACAATAACTTGCAGAGTACGGGGTTTAGATTTTACACTCTCGGAACTCGGACTCCGCCAAGCGGTTGAGGGTTTAGGGTATAGGGCACCAATGAGACAAGCCCTTGCCAGCCCAGTCTCAGCCCCTCTCATCGAAAAACATGTGCAGCTCAGGCAGTTCACATCATCCCGAAAGGGCTAATTACGGTTTGAGCTTGGGATCACGTCGCAGGGAGTCGCTTTCAACGTCTCGGATTCCTCTGTAAACTCCTCCTCAAGCTCGCTGGACACCGTGTCTTTCAAGGCCCCGCCATCGCGATCATCAGCAATCTTGCTTTCGTCGCACTGCTGGGAGGCATTCATAGTTGAGAAGTACGCACCGCTAGAACTCGTCCCTGGATGGCGAACCTGGAGCTTGATAGCCATGTCCATCATAATCCTGTCCATCTCCTCAAACTTGGTACGCGTCAGCTGCGTCAACTTGCCGATGTCGCTGTCGTCCACCGCCTCGTCTAAGGATGGCCAAGGCAACTCTGGTCTCGCAAGTCCCCCGTAGCGTTGAACCCGATCTAATGACACCTGGGGATGCTGCAAATATTCATAGGGCTCCTCTGTCGTGGGCACCGCACCACACGGACCGTTTTCACCCTGGTCGAACTCGCATGCCTCTTCCAGATGCAAGGACGTCAAAAAGGCTGTCCATCGCCTCTTGGAGATCAAAGGCATCGCGGTCTCGTAAATGTTGATGCCGCGCGTCAACCGGGCATTGCCGCGTGCATGAAGGAAGAGCTCATTGTAACGCTGGCATAACTGCGCCACCATAAGGTTCATCAGGTACACATGCCAGCATGCGGCGAAGCCCATGACAAGCCACTTCAGCAACGGCTCATCTGCTATCTCCTCGTACTTGTTGCCACCATAAGCACTAAATGCCATTGACAACAGGGATTCGAAAGCCATAGGCCAGCTGAAGAAGTCCTTCATCTGAACAGACTGAGTGCCTAATGAATGAGGCGAACAAGCGATTGCTGAAGCGAAAGCAGCAGTGAAGAAAACAAGGGCTGCCACGTACATGACGAACTCCGACATCAGGCACGAGCAGATCACACTGAAGACGGACAGGTGCACATTCAGGTTTACCAGCTCACACGCCAGCACGAAGTACAGGAGCAGCGGGAAGGCAGCGACGCGGTTGTAAGTGTGCATGAGGTTGCACTGCCATTCACCAAACTCGCAACAGTTGGTAAGCAAATCGTTGCTCACTGCGAGGCAATGGAGGACTGGCTCACAGCAGAAGAGGCACGCGAGGAAGAGAAGCAGGACTACTTCGACCACTTCCTGGCGCGTCTGCAGCATGTACTTCGGCACAGGCAGGCATCCACAAAAACGCATCATTTGCTTCTGACGGATGGCTCTGTACGTTTGGCACCCATGCTTGGCGAAGAGCTGCCCCAGGCTAAAAGTGTACAAGAAGGCCCGGCACAAGATCACCGAGAACTTATCCGAGCTTAATGGGTCACGTGGCAGAAAGGCTTGCTGCTCGGCCACGATGTACACCAAAAGAGTGATGCAGAACCATAACTTCGTCATAGCCCAGGGCACGCAACAAAGACGAGTCCAAAGTAGGTCGGCTTGAAAGAACGCTGTGGGGTGGCAGATGATTGTCGGGTCACCATGCTTGATCAAGTCCAAGAGCGAATCTGTCAGTTGGCCTTCTTCGTCACTAAGGAAGGAAGCAATGTAGTAGTTCGTGCGCCGGGCTCCATTTTTCACATTCTTGGACCGCCAGATCAGCCCGTCAAATAATGCCGGGAGTAATGAGGGTGCCTTTTCACAAAGCGTGCTGACGATGTCAGGATGGCGGGTGAACAATGACCCCATGCCATAGTAGTACCGCTCCCGATCTGCACGAATGGTCAGCAGGTCGTCCAGAATCGCCGTCGCGGACTCCAAAGCCCCCTTCTCCACGGCCCAGATTAGAGGAGACATGGATTCGGTACCCACCTGAACTCGCAGCAAGATCACCGCACGCTCACCACGCGGATAGCTCGCGACCGCACCCTGGATCTCCTCGGCCGTGTTCTTGTTGATGGCAATGATCACAGGTGTAGACCCCTCGGCTAGGGTCCGGATGAAGATCCTGCCAATGAGATCCAAAGTCCACCACAGCCCATCATAGAGAGATGCATCCGAGCAATATTCCTTGATTGTGCCCATGAAGGCTTGGACAAAGGGGCGAATCAAATCCTCTGGAATCCCTCGGCCTGCATGCATAAGGCCTAAAGCCGACAAGGCAATGACGGCTTGATGAGTCTTCGTGTAGATCTCAGACATGATCTTCAGAACCCTTCCCATGATGTATACCAGCCGCTACAGTATTGGCTGCCCGTAGATACAGCTGGGCTCCTCGCAGTTGGCAAAGAAAGCATCAAAGACCTGAAGCTTGAATCCTGCGAGGGTGGCCTCGCCCAAGCGGCCAAGGAAAGTCTGCAAGCACTGGCCGTGGTTGCCGATGAGCTGACCGTTCTTTTCGACCTTGCTCTCCACAATGCTCCAGAACCAAGCCCATGCACTCTCGTGTTCGGAGCTCCATGTCGTGGGCAGCAGGGATCTCAGGCTGGCAAACATCACGGAACGGAACTCCTTGAGGTTCACATTGCCATGCTTGGCCAGCATCGAGGTCAAGACATCACAGTCTTCCTGCACTCGATCTATGTTGGCGATGAAGGGCACGAGGATTCCATGGCGTAGAGCATATCTCTGGGGACTTTGAGTCGGACCACGACGAAGCAACAGCATCAGCACAAGCAACTGCTGTG